TCGCTACTATAATATACAGTAAATAATACAAGATAATAAATAGTCACTGGTTTACCAGTGAATTCGCTACTATAATATACAGTAAATAATACAAGGTATTATTGTAAGATATCACAAAATCTGTACTATAATAACCCATATTGCTGGATCCCTTGATTGGTAGAAAATATCACCTTTTCCAAAACAAATAGATCACACATTTCCGATAACTATTCCTTGACATCTGGAATAATATTACATTTCCAATTTGTTAATATAATTCTAAAGAAAATTAAAAAATAAAAATACAAACTAAAGTTACAAACTAAGAAGGAAAAGAAATGTATCTTATATTTTTCCTTATAAATAGTCACTGGTTTACCAGTGAATTCGCTACTATAATATACAGTAAATAATACAAGATATAAGATTTACAAGATATAAAATACAAGATACAAGATATCACAAAATCTGTGCCATAATAACCCATATTGCTGCATCCCTTGATTGGTAGAAAATATCGCCTTTTCCAAAACAGATAGATCACACATTTCCAATAACCATTCCTTAACATCTGGAATAATATCACGTTTTCAATTTGTTAATATGATTTTTTTTGCCATCCCCCTCCCATGCGCGATACCACAACAATTCCTGATAAATAGTCAAATTCCAAAATCTTTGGTATGGACTTCAACATTATATTAACATCTTTAACATTTAAAGATTTTCCCATAAATCTACTAATATACCTTAATACACTGTCCCAAAGAGATACTAAATGATCACATGACCATATCATGTGGGTCACTGAGCCCTCAAATTTCTTACACCTCCAGCATAAAAGATCTGATGTCCATCCTTTCAAATACATTCTTTGGGGAATCCAGTATACCCTAAATACAATTTTTTGATGAATCAACCTTAATCTCAAATCTGTAGATATCATTTTAACATTTTTAGGACCTGAAGCCATTGCTATAGTTACTTTGTAAATTCATTCTTGATGTATTTTAAAAGAAATTATTGCACTTTTGCATGTGTGGTCCTAATCAGTGAAATGTGTGGTTGGAAGCTTTTGTTGCTGCTGCTGCTGTCATTTTAGAGATTGTCAGGGAAAATGCATGCTTACTAGCTAAAGTAATTGTATTTATTTTAAGCACTCTGGGAGTATGCTATGACTAGTGATGGATCACGAAGAAGTTTTAATAGGTACTTTGAGAGTAGCTGTAATGATATAATCTAAGATGAATCTTGTTGTTAAGGCAAAATTGCTCTAAAGTTGAATTTTTGACCACATCTCTGAAAGAAATTAAAACAAAACCCCTTTTCCATATTTAAATACTGCATTTCACAGAGAAGAAAGTTGAAAAATCCTTGCTTTCAAGGATAAAAATCCAGTGGATTTTATTTTGTTTTAAAAGGAAGCTGTTTTTCATTTCATGCTGATTTAGTGAAAATATTTTTAGAGATAATCTAGTCAAATGTGAGTACTTTTAAATACCTTGGTTTCAGGTAGATACTTAAGTATATATTTAATTTGTTTGTGTCGGTATCAAAAGTGTAACATGCTTAACTTTAGATTGTGCTCCCGATGCTATAGAGATCTCTTCAAATGATCTTTGAAATAGCGGCCTTGTTTGTACCACTTAATTGAGTCATGGGGGGTATGAGCATATACATTTATTGTGTAGTCTCCAAAATTGAATTAACTGACCAAGAGAATTGATCCAGAGGTTAGATTTAGCCCCACACAAATCCAGTTTAACTACCCTCCTGGGTTAATCAAGATATCCCTTGTGTCTTGTAAACCAGGGTTCCTCAACCTTGGCAACTTGAAGATGTGTGGACCTCAACTCCCAGAAT